GAATGCAATCAGAATATGCAAAAAATCACCTGTTTCTCCATATCGAAGAAGGCAGTGATGTCTCGTTCATGTTCCAAATGCATATTTTCTATCTCTATGGCTTTCTCTTGGGTTTCTAGAAACAGGAAAATGAAAATTTAGTTTTTTCAACAGAAACAGCAAAAGGGAAACTTTACTCGAACTGCATAGAACTCACTTTTCTTGAGACCCGGGATGGCATCATAATTCTGGAACTGGTAAAATGATCGTTCCAGCATAAACTCTGGGTTCACACCTTCCACCCGCAAGAGATTCAGCACCATGTTATAAGTAAGACGGAACTGTGAATTCAACGGATCTGTCGCGCCCTGTAAAAGAGACACTAAAGTACTATTTTCAAAGAAGACTTTTCCGTGCTCATTTACATTGAGTTTGCAGCATTATTTGGAGCATACCTTAATGATTTGCTTTGCATCTTCACTACTCATTTTATGATCCACCATCAAAATCACAAGACCTCGATCATCCTTTCCACGCCGTCCTGCTCTTCCGGACATTTGAATGTATTCTCCGGACGTGATCCACCTGAGCAAAAATGATAATTTTGCTGAAAAAACGAAAAGGGCGATAGTAATTAATGAAGCCCACCTATTGTCTGCTCCGTCAAATTTCCGCGCCGAGGTGAACAATACAGTTCTTGCTGGCATATTCAGACCCATCGAGAATGTCTCGGTTGCGAACAATGTCTAAATCAGATAACACTGAGTCAACTGCCAAGAGCGAAAGACGGGAAGCACCTTCAGCAATCCCTCTCCAAACAAGATCTCTACAGTTTCTTTGAGAATTGGCAACAGACCAGAATGATGAACTCCGATTCCTCGCAGCAACAACGGTAGAATCTAAAAAAATGTGTCTGTAAAGGGAAAACCACCACAGCTAATTGTACCTGTCCTATTTGTGGCAATTTCTTGTCCTCATCACTCAGAAGATCAATCGCACTGTTGTATATTTCACGTACCAACTTCTTTTCTTCCTCTAAAAGCAAACACATGGCTTCAACAAGACAGTGTGAGAGCAAAAAACTGGCGTAAGATAAATGGAAATGATAGTGTAAAAATGCAAGCAATTATATAGAAGTCAAAAACAATGACATTTGGCTAACCTTCGTTGAAATCCATGTCCTTGAGGGAGAGTGCATATGCTTCACATTCTTTCCTGCTGAACGAAAAGATGATACACGGCAACATATCGCGCTCCTTGAT